AGTGACAAGCCATAAATATGTGTACACTGGTTTCGCTGACGTATCGATAACACAATAAAATGCATATCGGAGTCGGTTTTGAGATCCGGATTGGACACGACTGGTGTGCTATCCAGTGCGTCCCTATATAGATATATGCTTCAATAAAGGGAAAACATTACGGACATAAGATCAAACTTAAAAATGAAATTATCCAGATAAATAAAAATAAATTCAGGTAAAGAAGGTGTCATTATCACCACAGTCAAATTGTTTGGATTTTGTAGGCTTAGCCTTTAATATGAGGCAGGCATTACCTGTAAAAGGGGACGAAGTCTATATAATTTTTTTTTTTTAACATGTTTAATTCAAACATATTTTAAGTTCTAAATCTGTTAAAAAAGAAACGGAAATACCGTAACGTTTCCGATTTTGGTTCTGTTGTGAGGGATTTTAGTTGTGACGTTATTTTAGTTATGACGTCATATTCAATGTAAACAAAGAAACGCTATCATCACACGTTTTTTCATATCAAAGAATAATTAGAAATGAAATTGTTATTGTGTTCCTTCCTATATTTTACTGAACTGATAAATATATATATTTCACTCATAGTCTCATGACAAACGAGACCGGAAGAAGGAAGTAGATTTCTGCGCAAATGCGGGAATTAAAAAAAGTTACAAAAAAAAAGTTAACGATTTTGAGTTCATTAGTACAATGAAAATTTCGGGAAATTTTCCAGATTTTTTTTTTTTTTTTTTTTTATTGATTTTTCTACTGTAATAGGGGACTTCGTCCCCTTAATATGAGGCAGGCATTACCTGTTAAAAGGGGACGAAGTCTATATAAATTATTTTATTTTAATTCAAACATATTTTAAGTTCTAAATCTGTTAAAAAAGAAACGGAAATACCGTAACGTTTCCGATTTTGGTTCTGTTGTTAGGGATTTTAGTTGTGACGTTATTTTAGTTATGACGTCATATTCAATGTAAACAAAGAAACGCTATCATCAGATAACGTTTTTTCATATCAAAGAATAATTAGAAATGAAATTGTTATTGTGTTCCTTCCTATATTTTACTGGGCTGATAAATATATGTTTCACTCAAAGTATCATGACAAACGAGACCGGAAGAAGGAAGTAGATTTCTGCGCAAATGCGAGAATTGAAAAAAGTCTGAAAAAAAAAAGTTAACGATTTTGAGTTCATTAGTACAATGAAAATTTCGGGAAATTTTCCCGGATTTTTTTTTTTTTTTTTTTTTTTTTTTTGATTTTTCTACTGTCATAGGGGACTTCGTCCCCATAATATATCAGTATGTAAATATCACTGACAGGTTCATTAGATCTACCAGGTCAATTAGGCTATTAATAGCTCAGTGCTATAAATTATATCTTACTGACTAAAACTTCCAAGGCGTAATAATAATCTCAAAGAGTACAAAATATTATACTTGAAATAAAGAATGTCAAAATTCATATATCGCACATTTAATTACTTGTCAAAAGCTGTATTAGATCATCTCTCTTTGGCGTGCTTCCGTCCGTCCCCGATATACACACCGATAAGTTGTTTCTCTAATTGTTAAAGCTGTTGTTGATGTATAGTTATAATTGACATTTCTTCATGGATCTAAACTGTTTCAAGTTTGTTATTCATTACAGATTGTAACCTACTAATATCTTATTAGTGGAGCGGCGGAGAGGACAATTTTAGAAATGTAAATTACCTACATACCTCATTACATTAAAGTAGCTCATTTGAAGATTCTTTGAAAGCTTAAACCGTATACTTTTTGAATATATGTGTCGTAAATATGAAAGCTGGTCACATCATGCCTTAAATCAAGGTCAAAGGTCATCACTTAATTTTTTTTTATTTTCATCTAGGGAAACAAACTGCATTTTTTTTCAAAATCTATAATCCATTCAGTAAATTATACAAATAGCATTATTTATTAATGTTATAGTTCCGACTTAGATGTGTTTCATATTTGCACATGACGTCAGAACAACGTATTATTTAACTTTTTCGAAGGTAACACGTTTTATGGAAATTTCAAAGCCTTAAAAATGACTGCAACAGAATGACCTTGTTCTTCGACCTCGATAAATAGCATTTTTGAAAATAATATATTTTAATAGAGCAACAACATTGCCAGGTTATATTTTGTCTCAGTTTTCCAGGATTCGACAGGTCACGTAGTTTTATTGAAACATTTCCCATTGTTAGTCTCAATACATGATGATTTTTTCAGATGATACAAGAAGCATGAGTTATTGAAGTGACAACTACGATTAACTTTCATTCGATGGTGCTGTAGTGAATGCAAGGGGGTTTTATGACAAATTCAAAGAGGTAGACATGACCGTTTTCAAATACAAAACGAAACGTCGAAAAAAATTATATAAAGTACAACATGAATGAGGAACACCCCAATTTAGTTAGAAAATATTAGCAGTAAATAATGTTCATGATATGTCATCTGTGTCATCAGCTATGCCGGCTGATACAGCATGGGCATTATTACAATTACCTATACATTTTGACAAAACACAAATTTATGCTAGAAAGATTGATTGATTGTTTGTTGCTTAGCGTCCAGTGGCAAATATTTCATGCATGTTCAGGATGAGAACACATTAACAATAAATACAATAGGTAGGTCATGTAACAGAGGCCGTCTGGGGTGAAGGGCGGGAACATTTGGACTACCCCTGGAATATGACTCTAAAATCGATCTTACGTTACACTGAAATGTTCATGACTGACGGGTATTTTTTTCTCGTAATATTGTTTTTTAGAAATGAGTCGATGCTCCTTATTAACGCATGCTGCTGCACATGCTTTCCCCCTTATACGATCAAACAAGGTCTTGTTGAGAGTCTGATGTCATTTGGCCTTTAAAAAAAACTGGCACTTACTTGTCATTTTGCTAAATTTTCTAAGCAAACTAACATGGCATTATTTGGGGTGGCAACATTTGCCTACAGCCAAACTTTGCTTTGCCATAGAGCACATACAAATGTAGTACGTGTTGCTTAAACACCAACTCACATTGCGGCAGCATTATTACACTCTTATCTTTATATAAAATCAACTGTTTTATTAGAAAATTTAAATTCACATCTGTTGTGACCATAAGTTTCTGCATTTGTGAGTTGTCAAAAAGACTTATTTACATGATAAAAAAATTATCATATAATTTTACTATGTATCTCAATTGGGTTATTTTTTTTTATTTTGAGAGGACCCCTTGTTTTCCGCAAATGTCTATTAGGGCGTAGCTGTCTCGGTAGTCTTATCTAGATGTACGAATATTATATTAAGTACTAACAATGGTAATTTCGTATATGATATAAAAACAAATTCTTGAAAACTGTATTTCAAAGTACTAAAATCATTTTGGCGTTCAATAATTTTAGAATACGGACGAACAATTATAACATATATTGATGACAATAATATTCATGTATAAACAATTATTTCAAAGATTAATGTTAACGAACATGTATCAATAAAAAGTTAAACGTTACTAATCAGTAATGTTAATACCCCAAGTCCCTGATATTTGATCGATCGATCATGTAACATGAACATGGATGTGTATTATTCCCCTCCATCCGCACGCTTGATTAATTGCGTTATCTGATATGCTATTTTCACAACAATTCATAATATATAATTTGACTTCTATCAGAAGTACAATCATTGGGCAGTAATTCTGACTTTATATCAAATAAGACATCGTGAAATCCAGCTATAAGTTTTTCCAAGCGTTAGGGTTTTTTTTGGTTGTAAACGTTTTATAAAAACATAAAAGTAGTCCGTACATTCCTCTTTATAGCATTACAACGGATTCCCTCAAGGTCATCCTAGTAAAAATCATACGAGGTACATTGACATCGATACTGAAGTTACACGTCAAAATTATCTTTTATGATTTACACCTATAATATCGTACAAAGCAACACACACATTGAAATGGATAAATTGCCTAAATTTGTCATGATAAAAAAGTCTGGTTTAAAAAAATCGTTTTTCACATTAAACCTATTGTTGAGTACATCGTTGGATAAAAGTTGTCCGATCATTCAATTTTGCAATCATATCACTCCACCTCCTTACTTTCACATTGAATGACCGCTTTTTTTGTGGTTACACGTGAAAAGGCAAATAACCTTTAAAATTTATCGAACTTGATAATCAATTATAAATCGTGTTTTGAAATATGCTGACTTCTAAAATAATTTCTAATTTCTATAAAAAAACAATGGCTTGTTTGGAAGGGCAGAAACGTTTTGTTTTAACTCCTCGAGTCATCCAATGAGTTATTACTGGGGTCCTGAAAGTATGACGCTTTCCCAACACGTGATTTGGATATAGTAAGACCGGGTATCATTGCTCTTCAGTCTGCACACAGAGCCTTTTCAGCGCGTTTTGCTGTTGGATGGGGAAGCCAATATAGACATATTACTGTACTCGGTGATTGATAAACTAAAGTTAATTCTTAGATGAGAACATTCGCTTACTTCAATTTTATTATTTATAAACATTTCAAATAAACTCATCATAGATACATGGATTGAAATTTTGTACGCCAGACGCGTGTTTCGTCTACAAAAAAGTCACAAGTGACGCTCGAATCAAAATAGTTAAGAAGATCAAATAAAGTACGAAGCATTGAGGACCCGAAATTTCGAAAGGTTTTGACAAATACAGCTAAGGTAATCTAATTCTGGGGTAGAAACTCCTTAGTATTTCTAAACAAATATAAACAGTTAATTTAAAATTATGCCAATATCAATGATAATACATGTCAACACAGAAGTGTTGACTACTGGGGTGGTGAAACCCTAGGAGAGAAACCGCCACCAGCAGTGGCATTGACCCAGTGGTTGTAAATAAACATAGATACCATGATTACAATTTTGTACGTCAGACGCGTGTTTCGTCAACTGTGTTTTACTTGCTATTAACTTGATCACTAATATTATCGATTATATTTGAAAAAGGTAAAAGAAAATACAACAAAAAAACAGAATGAGGACCGTGAGAATTGGTCTGGGCGCCTTGATTTTATCATGTCCTGTATTGGATATTCAGTTGGAATAGGCAACATATGGAGGTTTCCATATCTATGTTATAAAAATGGTGGAGGTAAGTTAACAATTATAAAGCTTTCGTATAATGTCTATTGTTTGAAATATCTTTCCATTTTTCACTGTTTCAGCTGCTTATTTCTCGTCTCCAAATTCGCGGAATGGATAATATTGTTTGATCGCATCGTGAGATCATATGACAATTTCTTGTCAGATTTTGACTATTTATATAATATATCAGGTACAACTGGTTATTGCTCGTCTTCGAATTCAAGGAATGGATAATATTGTTTGATCGCATCGTGAGATCATATGGCAACTTCTTGTCAGATTTTGATAAAATGATTATACAGGTGTTGATTTAGGTAATTGCTACCACAAACAAGTTCGGAAATGAGTCCTTGACAATGCTTTCGTTGTTCCCTTAATGGTTTAAGATTTAAAGATTGTATATATACTCTCAGACACAAACTATTTTTATAATATATCAGGTACAAAAAATTTTGAAGGAATGCATGTCATCCCTTCGGACACATTATTTTCACTCCAAACAGCAATTGCCAAAATTCTTCTAGTATAACTGGAAAGAGGCTAATACCAACGATGAAGTGTTTGGTTTGCAGGGTCAGAGATGAAACAAACGACTATCCACATTCAAATATTAAAATAAGAAGATGTGGTGTGATTGCCAATGAGACAACTCTCCACAAAGGACCAAATGACAGAAACTAACAACTATAAGTCACCGTACGACCTTCAACAATGAGCAAAATCCATACCGCATAGTCAGCTATAAAAGGCCCCGAAATGACAAAGTTTATCGTTTATAGTGAATATTGTTTTATTGAAGCGAAATGTTGATTTAGCTCAAATTAACTCCAACTGATTGATGTTTATTATTGTATACTTAATACCAAGTGTCAAATTTCCCAATATATATCCATGTGGAGAACAAATTATTCACGAATCGAATAGGTAAGTTCTGAAAGTTGGATTCTGGACAGGACATATTGTTTACTAGAAAACAGGCTAATACTTTATTTAATACTTTGTTAAAAAGGGACAGAAATTTCCTTATAAAATCACCTAGAGACCTCTCAAAAGGATGCAGGAGGGTCCTTTACAGTGAGAGAGCTTTGTACTCTCCCTACATGAGACATCGGATTTAACGTAATCAATCTGTCCGGAAAGGCTATGTATTTATTCATTCAACACAACCAAACAAAAGTCCCTCTTTAACTAATGTTTAATTGCCGGACAGGTTAAGTATAGGTAACAATATTTGTTATACCCTAGTCAACCCTTAAACGTTAACTGTATTTGTATAAGAATTTAGCGTAGAAAGGTAGTCAGATGATTTTTATTTTTGAATCCTTGGATAATAATCTTTTGTATTTTTAAAGTTATGGTGACACTGTATTTATTCTTGAGATAACTTCTCTTACTTAGTACGTGTGCCACATCATTCTCTCAATTTAAGGCCAGTTTGTGTACTAAAATTTTAATAAGACGCGCACCACCTATTATTGGCCCCCATTCCTATCCACGTTAATGTTTTTCACTTTCAAACATTTATTAGGGGCGGGATCAATATACCGTTATTTACACATCAGACCGTACTAGTTACCGGAACTTTGGATACACCAAACCAGGTACTTAATATCTGAGAAGCAGGCAATAAATGCCCTCAATTTTAGAATTCATTCATACATTTTTGTATTGTTCAAAATTATCAGTCAAAATGTGTTCTACAAGGATCACCAGTCGTTCACCTTTTATTTGATAGAAAAACTACCAACATATATTCTACATAGTTTAATATGTACACCTATGCGTAGGGATTATTTGGTTTTTAATATGTACTACTTTCCAGTATGTTCTTTTTTGTTACATCTTACAAAGTCTATTCGAATTATTTTTACAAAGAATTCCGCTTAAGCCGGTGCTAGGGGCTGTTTTAAACTTGCAGTGAGGTGAGAGTTTTTTTTTAACTCCGTGTTGAAGGCCTCACTGTGACTTCGAGATGAAGAACAGCAATAAAAGCGTTGTTCCTTTGCTTTTTGTGTGTTTTTTTGCTGTACATGTACTGATTTTGTGTCATGGATGGATACCCCATATCCTTTGTTTTTCTATTAACAGAACTCAGACTAATGTTTTTATCTATTCACAGGCGCCTTCTTAATTCCCTACCTGTTATTTATGGTCGTAGGAGCAGTTCCTATTTTTTTCCTTGAGTATGCGGTTGCCCAATTCTCTAGCAGCAGTACCCTTACAGTTTGGAAAATATGTCCACTGATGAAAGGTAAGTTGTTTCTATTTTTTATCTATAATATTTACAATAAGCCTTCCTTAAAACATTTTCCTCTTTTGTTTAATGTTACCTCAAAATGCTAATGTTTAAATCAGTTAATGCCGCAGAGTATGATTTCTGTTTTGGCTCTGATATAACTTCTAGTTGGTTTGGTTTATATAGCCTTAAACTTAAATTTTGAATGAATCGCTATACTGTCACTTCTGATTCGCCCTTTTATCCCCCTGGTCTCTAGAATTTGTATATCTAATTGCTCTGTATACAGAGTTGTTTTTGTTCCCCATATTTTTTACATTACAATTAGTTTACAACCTGAACGAAGAGAGTAAATATGGCATGCAGAAGTTATAATTAGATATTAAATGCCTTAAAATACAAACGAACATGAAATATTAACATTTTTAAAGACTTCTTTTTGTTTAAATATATTAATGCGTCTTCATTACTATATTGACTGTCAATTCTAGCGATTGACTGATACATGTATTTCTAGTATATTTGACATTCACTAAACAGGCAAATATCCTACACACACAATTTTCTTTATTTTAGAAATACTTATGAAAATTCGGTATTTACACTGTTTGTTAATATCTAATTTGAACCAATCAGTTTGCAAAATATGAAAACTTGTGGTTAATGATGTCTGTTATGATCCGCGAATAATGTCACGATGAAATAGCAATTGTTTTGGTTTTTTTTGCGGTAAACAAGTCTGATTATATTTGTGCTCACATTTAGCAAAACATTAACATAATCGTGAATGGATTTACAATTGTTAAAGGTTATTTCAATTTATGGTTGGGATAATGTTTTTTTTTTTTTCATACCGCGAACATTTGATTGTTGTTCTACAATAGTTTTTTAATCATTTTCACGAGGTATAGCCTTTATGGTTATATTACCATAAAATTAATATTTGTTAATCTTGAGATACTAATTATTTAGCGAAGTTAACTTTTCTGCTTTGGCATTACTAAGCAGGGTCATTTTCTCTGTTTTGTCCCGTAATTGAACTTGTGCTATCTCATTTATAATAATTATTGTAATTCTAGGTGTTGGTTACGGAGCATTACTTGTTTCAGCAATATTCTGTGTATACTTCAACATATTTATGACATGGACGCTATATTTCCTCTATCAGTCAATGACATCAGTGTTGCCATGGAGTCACTGCAACAATGAATGGAATACAGAAAATTGCCTAGATAGTTCCAGATACAATGCATCAATTTCAAATGTATCAAAAGAAGGCAATTGGTCTATGAGCAAAAATTTAACCAAAATGACTGCAAGTGAGGAATATTGGAAGTAAACATTTATGAATTTTCTTTTAATTATTATCCATAACTTCGTGTTTAAAACTTATTATCACATTAAGGTCATACGGTTTCTGGTACGGAATCTCTTTTCATTGCAACATGATATGATGGGAAGACAATAAGCTTTTTTAAAGGTTCAATACAATCACAAATGTAGAAGAACATATAACACTATGAATAAAAGAAAGAGATCACAAACCATTCTTATTGTTCACAAATCAATAAACATAAACGTAAGTAGTGAGCTGCGGAAAATTCACCAAGCATAGGCAATACAATCAGATACTCCGGAAAGGTATATTATTTCTGCTTTCTGTTGCTTTATGTTAAAATCCTAAGATATTAAGTTAATTTGCAATAAAGCCTTCTATGACTGCAGACTTGAAATAGTTTACGTCTAACCATTAAATGAATGGACAAACCTTTCCATCCGTATTCCAAGCCATTATACATGACCAAATTAATGTATATTTTTAAATGAAAACTGTTGAAAAAGAGACATTATCGTTTAGTGATGTATTTATATATATAAACAAAAAAAATGTGGTATGATTGCCAATGAGACAACTTTCCACCAAAATCCAAATAACGTAGATAAAGTATATGTAAGCCACCATTCGACCTTCAACAATGAGTAAAACACATACCGATAAGTTTGCTATAAAAGACCTCGATATGACAGAATATGAAATAATTCAAACGAAAAAGAACAACGGCCAGATGAACACTGAATCTCTAGCTCCTGACTTGGGACAGGCGCATATAAAATGTGACAGGGTCCAACATATTTGCGGGCACCAAACCTTTCCATAACCTAGGACAGTAGTATAACCGCACAACATAAGAACAAACTTTATAAATCAGCTGCAACAGATCTGACCTATCAGATCGACAAAAACCACAAAAACCAACAAACAAAATTTAAAAGACAAAATACTGAGGAACGAAATTAGATTACTCGTAGTTACTGAAAGCTAGTTTAAAACCGATTACAACTAATAAAAAAACATGTCTCTCATTAAAATATCAATCATTAATCGTAACACGTCATAAAGCCTAATGAAGTGATATATGCTTATATGAATATTGATTGATTATAAAGAATGGTTTCATCCTTAATCGTTTACATTACCATACATACTTTTTGTAGATTTAACGTGCTTCAGATAACTTCAGGGATTGAAGATGTAGGCAGCATAAGATTAGAGCTTTTAGCATGTCTATTTATAGCATGGGTTCTGGTATTCCTTTGTCTATTTAATGGTATAAAGTCATCTGGAAAGGTACGGAATATTAATTGAATGCTAGGTTCCAATACATGTTAAAACGGTATAATTTAAAAGTTTCTTACGTATTAGCAACATCAACTTATCATACCATTAAAGACAGGGCTACTAGTATTTAGTTCTCAGAAATTATCAGTATATTATTCAAACTATTCATTCGAAACAGAAGAGGAACTACCTTTTGTCGCTCATTCTGAGGAAATGAAGTTTAGATGTACTGCGTTTATCTACAACAGTGACGTGTTCAGACGTGTCATGAAGCAGTTCTGTACATCTCGGAAAAGAGAAGAAAAAAAAAAGAAATTGGTAAAGTTTGGACATTTTTATTTGAAATATTTTACAATACTTCATATTAATATTTTATGATATTTTACTACGTTGAATAAGTTTACATGGTTTATATGCAGCAGTGTATTGTAATTCATATTCATTAAAACGATTACATCAAAATATATGACAATATATATTTCAGATTGTATATGTCACCGTTACATTCCCATACATTGTGCTGGTTATATTTCTAGTCAGAGCAGTCACCTTACCTGGTGCTATAGAAGGCATTAAATTCTTTATAATTCCAAAGTGGCACAATTTGCTTTCAACAAAGGTACATTTATTATTCATAAAGAAGGGATTTCCATTTTTTGGACACACTTCGTTGATAAATGTTATCCATGGAATAGTAAAGTATCATTGATATGATAAATTGTTAACCAATAATTGAGAACGATTGAGTGGAATCGGTAAATTTAAGAATGCCGCAAAATTAAACAGATTACACCAATCACCATCACGCGACTCCTTCAAAAAACAAAAACAGGCATATAAACAAAGACAAAAAACAACGAAAAACACATTGTTCAGAAAGCCTGTCTTAGTTTAGGCACAACATATGGTGGGATCAAACCAGTTTTTACCAGTTTTACCTTACCTTATTTTGTAAATTTTGGCAAAGAGAAAATCCATCACTTGGTGTTATTTGGAAGTTTTATGCGAAACACTCAATAAAAGAGAGGCGACAAATACCAAAGGGACATTCAAACTCATAAGTCGAAAATAAACTGACAACACCATGGCTTAAAAAGAAAAAGATCAACAGACAAACAACAGTACACAAAACACAACACAGAAAACTAAAGACTGAGCAGCACGAACCCCACTGAAAACTGGGGGTGATCTCAGGTGCTCCGGAAGGGCAAGCAGATCCAGCTCCACATGTGGCACCAGTCGTGTTGCTCATGTTATCGGATGATAAGTCTAATTCGGTAGATCACATTCGAAGAAAAGGGGACGGGCATAAAGTATATTTAACGTTTCTTTAATAATGTATATCAGTGATTTTTTTCTTAACTGCAACCAGCTCAAACATAATCATTCAAGAACTATAATTATTGTAGTTTATTACATACCGCAAAATTCGGTTTCAGTAATCCAAATTTATGTATTACGCATTGATGTTGTAAGAGCATCAAAGTAATCGAATAAAGCTGTTAAGACTGAAAGTCTCTTTCAAATTCCCCTTGGCAGAAATAAATTAGACGAGAACAGGTCATACCTCTAGATCTTTTATGATGATAAATTAATGATAAATCATATACTTATGACCTTTTCAAGAATTGATTAGACAAAGCCAGGGGGATGCTCAAGTTCATGTAATAACAAAATAGTCAAGCCCAAAAAGTATCCTATTTTAGGTATTAATTTACAACGTAAACAATCGATCTGAAGGATATGTATAACATAAAAAGCATTTGTGGAAAAAGAACAGAATAATCGATCTTTACTTTACGTTACAATGGAATATAGTCATAAAAATTCCAACAGATAAAACAAACTGCGGCAAACACGACACATGGTTACTTTTGATATTTCGGTTAAATTAATCGAATAAACTGAGATATGGGTTAAACGTATACACCAATGTACGGAAGCCCATTTAGGACCTTCCAAAAATATAATTTGAATTCGAAATCACGAATTTAAATCGTTATCACGAATTGTATAATTTGTTATAACAGATTAAGTTTGTGATAACGAATTGGTGGAAATCGTTATAACAGATTTTATTATTCGTAATTACGAATCAAATTCGTGATCACAATTTTTTGTAATTTGTGATAACGAATTAAAATCGTTATAACGAATTGTGTAATTTGTTACAACGGATTATATTCGTGATAACGAATTTGTGGAATTCGTTATCACAGTTTTTTTTTGTAATTTGTGATTTCGGATTTTTAGCTCACCTGACCCACAGGGTTAAATGAGATTTCTCCTCACTTTGCGCCCGTCGCTGTTCATTAAATTTTACAAAAATCTTCTTTTTTAAACCTTTTGGCCAAAGTGAAACAAACTTGGCCACAATCAATTTAGTTTTAACGAATTTTATTTGCAAATTTAGAAAAAGGGATTGGACATTTAATTCGGGATATTGTTTGTTTTTTGATATTTGTAAAGGGGCATAACTCAAGAACGGTAAAAGTGATGCCACCCAATTTCAAACTTTTAAACATTGTGTAGTAGTTTAATAACATTTTGTTGAGGCAAACTAAATGTAGAGAACGGAAACGACAGATTTAGCACTTTGTCTATTTATAAAGGGGAATAACTCAAGAACGGTAGAAGTGACGCCATTCAACTTCAAATTTGATCTGTGTTTTGTGGTAATAAACATAGTGTATAAGTTTTATAACATTTGGTTGAGGCAAACTAAAGTTAGAGGACGGGAACCAATTTTGGGAACGTACGCGACGGACGGACTGGACTGACAGACAAGGACTAGTCTTAATGCCCCCATCGTCTAGCGGCGGGGGCATACAAAATGTGTTAAATACCCATAATTCGTAACCGATACATTTTTATTCATTATTTTTTATTTAAAGTCTTTTTAGACCGGCGATTTCCTTCGTGTGTATCGCCCATGAATATATTTTACACAGAGGCAACAGAAGTAGTTTTGGCAACATGGTTTATCGAAGTGTAAAACCCAGGAAAGAAAATCGAACAGACTAATCATATTCAAGTTTTTGTTGATATGCTAATAATTTAAGAATTATTTAATAATGACGAAAACATAATAGGAATGCATGCAATTCAAAAACAAACAACAGATATAAGGAAGAAGAAAATGGAATATAATGTGCAAAGTATATATAAGATAAGGTTAGCCTGGAGTGTAGTGAAGTGAGAGAAATAAATAAGGGTATCTACTATAAAGAATGTGTGCGATGAGCCCGCCTGCGAAACATCATGGCCAACATGGCCAAAAATAGAACATAAGGGTAAAAAAGGGTCAATTGCCGCTTTTAATCATGTGGAATTATTTATGATCATTTTCGCTATAATAATTGATTGAAAGATTCTCTGTATCTATTATATATTTCAAAATAATAGACAAAACACAAAATAAAAAAAAAACGTCAATAAAGGAAAATTATTCCTATAAATAGTCATCTTACAATTTTGATGTAAATAGACAGTACGTAAATCTTGTAATTCCAAACAATTCTCTTTCTATAGCGGTTTTCAAGATAAAAGAAAAAAAACTTGCATTTTACCCTTGTGTTCTATTTTAGGCCATGTCGTCCATTTTGTTACGCTTGCGGGCTCATTGCACACATTCTTCAAACTAGAAACCATGATTTATTGCTCTCACTTCACTTCACTTCAGGCTTGCCTTATCTACTTGTGCACTTATATTCTATTTTATTCCTCTTTATATCTTGTGTTAGTTTTTGAATTACATGCACTCCTATTATGTTTTCGTCATAATTAAATAATTGTTATATTATTAGTATATCAATAAATGTGATTGGTCTGTTAGATTTTCTTTCCTAGGTTTACACTTCGATAAACCATGTTGGCGAAACTACTTTCGTTGCCTTTGTGTAAAATGTATCCATGCGCGATACACACTAATGATATTCCCCGGTCTAAAAAGACTTTAAATGAAAAATAAGGAATAAAACTATATCGGTCAAGAAATATGTGGATTAAACACATTTTTTTTCTGGAGATTTTTGGTGTGTAAACTGGGTCGCTGACTAATAAACTTACATATCAGTTTGTGAGTTAACACACCCATTTTACATGACAAAAACTTCTAGGTATAGTGTTTTTGTGTTTATATTTGTACATGGAGAAGACGTCACTAATGTTGTTTCAGTTTGTGTCCAATCCCTTTTGCTAATTTTGCAAATAAAATGCGTTAAAACTAAATCGCCCCGGATTGTGGTCAAGTTTGTTTCAATTTGGCATAAAGGTTTCAATGAAGAAGATTTTTGTAAAAGTAATGAACAGCGACGGGCGTAAAGTGAGGAGAAAAGCTCACTTAACCCTGTGGATCAGGTGAGCTAAAAAATCTGTGATAATGAATTTTAATCCGAAATCACGAATTACAAAAAAATTGTGATAACGAATTCCACAAATTCGTTATCACGAATATAATCCGTTATAACAAATTATACAATTCGTTATAACGATTTTAATTCGTTATCACAAATTACAAAAAATGGTGATAACGAATTTAATTTGTAATTACGAATTATAAAATCTGGTATAACGATTTCCACCAATTCGAAATCACAAATTTAATCTGTTATAACGAATTATACAATTCGTGATAACGATTTAAATTCGTGATTTCGAATTCAAATTATATTTTAAGAATGTCCTAAATGGGCTTCCGTACTTTTTCAACCATTTGAACAAATAACATACTTATTTATATAGCATTTGTTACACCCCTGTTTCCTATTTAACGTGTTCATCAAATTATTAAACTACCAGATCTATTTTGTTTAGGTCTGGGGTGAGGCTGCTGTGCAGATTTTCTTTTCGTCTGGTGCTGGATGGGGAGCAATTTTAACTTTAGCTAGTTTTAACAAATTTCATCATAATATGTATAGGTTTGTTTATTATTGTTTTTGTGTACTAATTTTAAATTTTAGTCAAACATTTACATGTACATTTAATTCTACTAGTGATATATGTTTTCAACACTTCGGGCTGTCGTTAATTTCGACTGTTTTCATGGAGAGAAACAATAATAATTGCATGCTAAAATTAAATCATTTACGTTCACAAAGTAAAGATCATTGGTAATGCCCTATGGCGACAATTTAGACCCCCCATATGATTGCGGTGCGGGCAATATTAAACTGCGATCTATAATTTCTCGGCTAGCAGTTTAAACAACTTACTTTTGTCTATATTTCATTAAAGAAGTTTTATAAACATGGCCTTAGATGCAATTTTTTAAAATATAAGTTTGAAAAGTGCGTTTTTTGTTTGTTGTTGTGTTTTCTTAGACAAATTGATATCAGCAGTCCGTTTGGTTCAATTTGTCTAAACAAGTTAAGAAAAGTCGCTGTTACATTATTGACTCGCAAGACAATAAATCTTTCGGATGCGCCATGCATGCGACCTGTGATTAACTTTAAATTGAAATTGATTGCGCATGTGCCCGATATGTCCTGCAAAAATTCAGACTAAAAAGTGGAAATAGGGAAGGAAGCAGTAAAGCTGTTCACATTGACATCACGTAATGTCAGAGCACCACATAAGACAACTGTGGCGATCCATGCTTGTAAAATATTGCACGTGCGTTTCTGTCCATTTACATTTATTTTTGGGGGGGTAATATATCCTTCTGCAATTTTTGGAAGTCATGGTGATGAAAAATGTTTTGGCATCAGTCCCACAAAATACACGAAATGTTGCTGATTTAGAATTAGAATGATTCAATATAGTGTTTTTTTCTATGGAAAATTGTAATTCTGATATACATTTAAGTTCACAATAAACCCAATATGAATGTTTGAGTCAATTCTTTGAGCATGAATTTGACGGCTTATGTCGCTTATATACGAGTAGTAAACTAAACTGTATTTTTATTTATTCATATCTAAAATATTTGTTTACATTTTGATATGATGGAACAAAGCTGAAGTGTCATTTTTGTAGTGTGATTTGATTCATTATCATCATTAAGTTTTATCAAAATGTTTGTAAATTAAGTTCTACTCAAGTATTCATTTTGTCTAATTAATTGTGTTTTATATTTAATGTTTGTATGGTTTTACTATATTTAGATATTGTTTTCCTTCCATTTCATGCCTTTTCCATTTTTATACCAGTGCATATTTTATGTTTTAGCATTGATGTTTATCCTTCAAAATGCTTATGGTGAGAGATGCATGGGACTTTCTAAAAAAAACAACAATTCAAACACAAGGAAGTATTTATATTTTTAACGGACGCACGAAAAATATAAAGTGTTATTTTCATTTGACTTCACACGAGTCTTGTATATTTTAAGGGATGCCATGATTGTACCAGCAATCAACAGTGGAACAAGTATTTTTGCTGGCTTCGTCACATTTTCTATCCTGGGATTTATGGCGCACGAGAAAGGAATGGCAGTTGAAGATGTCCTGACACAAGGTTATATAAAGATAAGATAGGGTTAAAAATATTTTGTGTTATAAAAACACCTTTTAACAAATCATGCACTTATCTAACTACTGTATTTTAACCTAAAGACGATTGTCAAACAATCACAAAAATAACATTTGAATGACTCTAATTTACTATCTGCAGAGGAATGAATAGATGATAAATGACATAAATGTAGTCAATGGATTATTCATTGATATAACAAAAAATAGATTTATTTAGTTTTCATCTATATTTTTTTCCTTATTGAGCTGGAATATGTTTGCAGTTGTTGTACATTTTGTAGCATGCATACACACATAAAATAGTCTTCTACTTCGAGAGGATATAAGCTTGATGACAGCTTCATTGATATCCCGAAAAGTTATGATCAAAGCTTTAGTAATGATTTAGATGATTGATCATCTTTAAAAGTCTTTGACGGTTGATAGGGGATGCTGTTCAGACCTTGATGATCTGATTAATTGTTGCAGGTATAATTATATACTATTGCAATAATATCTCAAACTATCCATTAAAATGTAATGAGATACAAGTTCAAGAGAACAATAAACATAGCAATTTTATTTCCTTATTATTTCAGGATTTCATTAACAATTATCTTTATAGTAACTCTAGAAACGAACAGAGTAAAACTTTATATATAAAAAGTAACAGTAGTTTACCAATGTTCAAATTTCATAGATCCATTAGGAATATACAAATCAAGTAAAAAACAGCGAGAATCGCCTGAACTACAAAAGGATTAAGAGCGGGGGCATTGTAAGCGTCTCCTTCTACAAATGTTCCCTGCATTCATCACCACCTATGTGAATCCACACTCAGTCAGAATGTCAAGATCATAAATAGGACACTATTGGTAAAACCAAATGACTATCGTATATCTAAAGATAATATATTACAGTAGATGAAGGGTTAAATTTCACTGCTTGAGGAAAGCGCCCAATCAAATAGGCACATCTAAAACCCAAAGCAAACTTTATCGCATACACTTTAAGACTGTATATATATATACGTAAGAACCCATCAATTATTTTTTTATAATAACAAAGTATTTTGTATTTTAAGGTCCAGGTTTAGTGTTCATGGCTTATCCAGAAGCTATATCACGACTTCCTGTTTCACCATTGTGGTCGATTCTCTTTTTCCTGATGATGCTAACAATTGCTATTGATACACAGGTATGATAGCTATATCTTAGTAATGTTGTTTTTTTTCGGGAGAGGAGTAACAATAGCAGATTTTAATATAAAAAAGATTTAATATGTATGCTAATGAAAACACTTTCCAACAGAGACCAAATTCACATTAGTTTTCAACTATATGTCATCATACGACTTTCAACAATGACCAAACCATACTGCATAACAAGACTCCGACTTAACAAGTGCAAACAATTCAATTTATGTAAACACAAAAAGGAACTAGAATCAAATGTGATAAACAGCAACAAATAATTGATTACGTTCAAAATGTGCCTTTATGTTACCTCAATTCCATTTTTCAATCTTATGTTTATCTTTGATTGCCTCTGTTGAATTTAAACCGAAGGAGATTTAAACTTAACAGTGTATAGCCCGTCTTTATTGTTTCAGACTGTATATTGAATTTCTTTGTGTCTTTTACCTTTTTCTTCGTTTTGTATACCCAACATATGTTTTATTCGTGATAAAATGTTCTTTTATAGTTTGGGACTTTTGAAACCATAACGAGTGCACTGACAGACGAATTTCCACAACTGTTAAGGAAAAGGAAAATGCTGGTAACAGCTGGAGTCTGCTTTTTAGGATTGGTGTTAGACATACCACTTATAATGCAAGTGAGTGTTTAGAAGATATTTATGTCGTTCGGAATAATTTTATTTAGATAAAATGAAAATACGATTGAAAAATTGTAATAAAGTTAACGAAAAGGCACGTTCTAAATGTACTTATTTATTTGGGACCATATCCTTATTAACGAAATGACGCTGAAATTTTTTCTACGCAATCGTTACCCTCATAAACGTATAGGACATGTGCGAAGTAACTAACAGCGTACACAAGAGTAAACCTTAATGCTAGTAGTACTCGAATAGCGAACATAATTCATATAACTATCTTATATTCATCAACATGACAATTCATCTTTTATTTACTTCTTAGTTATCATTATCAATTACAAATACATCCATCATTAGCTTTTTTAGTCATTGTCATGTTAATTCAAATCATTGACAACAAATGTCCTTTGTCATTGAATACAGGGAGGCATATATATTTTACAAATAGTGGATTGGTACTGTGGACTGTTTACACCAATGCTTGTTGCTGTGATAGAATGTATCGTCATAGGGTGGATTTATGGTATGTTTGTCAAAGAAATAATTGGCATGAGTAGAGTTTGATCCTGTCAAGTACTACAGTGAAAAATACCAAGTTAAAAAGAATGATGCTTTGAAACACCCAAGATAGATTTTAATGACTCAGAAAGTTTTTTTTGCATGAAATACAGGGTTAATTTCCTACAATTGTCAAATTCAAGGAAGTATTTTTGTCGACCCTTTTTAACATGAAACCGGATGTGACGATCTATGTTGTGGTGGTATAACACCTTATAATAGACCTTATAGTTTTTTTTTCTTGCATTACTGAATATCACAGATGCTCCCGTAAAATTTAAAACTCACAAGATCTAATACACAAATTCAAAGGTGATTTTTGTATGACGTCGATCGTCCAAGTGTCTTAAAGTTTCCTGTCAACTGTCGGAGATTTCCAAATGACAATTAGATCTGCACGATGATAAGCAACAATCCATTCAAATGGGAATTAAATGGGGCATTGTGGTATTTTTTGTGTTGTGTATTACCTTCATTTCTAAAAACATATTATCTTTTCTCTTGTTTAACAAATGTCCTTAGGTACAGATCAATTTTATAAAGACATAGAAATGATGATAGGATACAAACCATGCAGATGGTGGTCAATCTTTTGGAAATTCATAACACCAATCGTTATAATGGTAAGTATTCTTTGAAAACTTATTCTGCTACAAATACAGTCGCTCCTTGTAAACATTAAATGGCGTTTTGGATGATGTATGCATAATATATAAATCCATCCAAATATGGCTTTGTGCAATACCAGTAAATTTTTACATGTTGTTGCTCGGTTGCATGATTTCAATGCAACATACTTGTTTCATTACAGATGCATAATCTAAATCATGATTGAAATGTAACACAACATTTATGTCGACCACAGTCAGAATCAACTTTGGATTTGGCTATACTTTCGGTCCTTTTTGGTTTGATCCGCTCTCCATCATTTGTGTTAGATTTTTTATATTCACATATTTTGGCCACCAGCCTCACTGAAGAGACGTTAGTTGTCGAAATGCGCTTCTGGTGCATTAAAATTGGTACCGTTTATGTTATTACGTGAAAGCTGTTATCTAAATTGCGAACTAGAACACAAACTTGACAGTTGTTTTATACCTGTGTACATATGGCATGTTTGATAATAAATCATTTAATAATTCTATGAACCGACAAAAATATTCTCGTCATATTATTATAGAGAACTTTGATGGATAGTTGTCTCATTGGCAATCATACCACATCTCCTTATTTCTATATGTATGTTTTGATGATTCCGATTGATGACTTATACATGATCGTCAACATATTTATATATATTATATATTTGTGTAGGTAATGTTAGTTTTCAACATGACACAACTGCAACCAGTATCATATAACACATACCAATATCCATCATATGCTATTGTGATCGGCTGGGTTGTTGGGATGGTGTCAGTAGTACCTATTCCATTATATATGATAAAGGCAGTAGCGTGTGCTGAGGGTACCATTCAGCAGGTACAATCTTACAAAACTAAATCTTTGATATATCTTTTAAAAATTCCTGTCAGTATATGAAAATCTGCAAGACGACTTATGATGAATGTAAATCAAAAACAGGGCTTCGAACGCATAGAGTTAATAAATTGTTGTTTTCAGGTGTTTTTTTTATCCCAATTGTAAATTTTACGATTTATAAATTGACATTATAATAAACAGTAAGAAGCAATGAAATAACGTCTTTAGCATTAATAAATACAAAATATATTTTGATAATGAACTTAAATGCCCAATGAGAAAGGACAGATACGTCGACAGGGTAATCATCCCCTGCTATGCATGCACCACTAGCCTTGCGAATCCACACTCTGTAAAAATGTAACACTAGGTAATTGAAAAGAATCGGTAGAAGTATAGATCAGTCGACTTTACTGGTACCTAAATATGTAAGACTTCGAAAACATGTCGCTTTTGAGTTGAGACACATAGTGTCGGTCAACCAATTTGTGCTTGTGACCGTAAAATTTATGTAGCGTCGATGGCAGTCCGCCAAAGAGAGTTTATTGCAAATAAGTAGCTTATGTTGACTTCGGTCTATGATCTTTCTCATTATTGATTGTTACGACCCCAATAACCCGTTTCTACGAAAGTCAATAATGTAAAAAAAAATATAATAACAAAAATGATGCATACTACCAAATATATGTACATGAGAACGAGAGGTTTCCATTGTATGTATGATACACGACATTTGATAATGTGATACAGTGAATGCATTAGGTAAAGTAAGTAAGTAAGTAAGTAAATTTTTATTATAGTGACATGTGTAATAACAGTTTAACAATATACAAATATATTACACAAACAATAAAATACACCCGACCCATTGGGTCTATAAGTCACTTTCAAAATCATAAAATATCACGGATTTCAAACAAAATAATAAAAAAAGATTAAGCTAAATTCAAAATAATTAATTCATAACGAAGTTAATATGTTTCTTATTTACCTTTTGTAGCGAATAAGATGTCTTCTGCGACCCGTTTCCGAATGGGAAACATTCTTAAAAAAAGAGAAGAATCGAATGGAAACCTGTACATTGACATATTTTAAATCGACTGAGATAGACAAATGTGAATCGAATTCCACAAAAACCACTGGTGAAATACAAAATATGCTCTAACTTTATAAATGTTTACAACATAATGTTTGAGGGAAATTAAAAAGTATTTAAATAAAGATTTTTAAAAATATTATCGATGCGTTTGTATTTAAAATGATTGATCACACTAAGTAGTAAATATATCACGCATATTCAAGTCCAGAATAAGTTGACAATAAATCCAATAGGTGGTTTCTGAAAGTTGGTCGACCGGGAAGAGGTGAAGAAAATGTGTACGGCCACAGAGAAAAAGGAAACATAATGTTCGATACGGGCACATTTTTGCTTTGCAACATGCTTTTACGAACCTAGCATAGAGCTGGTACAACTGTTCCCTGTCGTACAGAAAGAGTTGCACTCTCCTACACGAGGATTCGGTATTACAGTCAGCTCAAGCTAAAAATACCATTTCAAGATCAAATTGTTAGCAAATTTAATGATATTTGATTAACACTCATCCAAATAAATATTAGTGAAATTATAATATGATTGTATTCTCAAAAGCTTTAACATAGCGCATGTATCAGTCTATACCAAACTTGTCGTAGCCGACTGCTAGAGAAAAAAAGCTTCAATAACTATAAGGAAATGATATCAGGTATGGAAAATCAAATGGAATGCAAACTTATAATCCAGTAGTTTTTACTTTACAAGAAATAGATATGGGAGTTGGTGAATCGCAAACACAAAAATATACTTCAAACAAGTCAAATCAGTATTTTCGCAAACAATACTCCAATGAAACTGTCGAATCATATTCAATTGATGCATCCATAATGCATACACAGGCAAATGTGAGTTAAGACGACATGCCAAAACAGTTTGAAATGAACTTGGACGAATCGGATAATCCATGAATAGAAAATCAAGGAAGCATTACATATATACTTGCATGATATAACTCATACCAGCATTCATCATATGCTATTGCTATTGGTTGATGATTGAAATGGTATCAGTAGTACCATTACCTATTGACATAGTCAAAGCGGTATGTTGCTTTGAAGGTAGCCTTCTACCGGTAAATATGTCGATATTTGGCAAACGGTTTGCTTGGAAGTACATGTAGGTTTCGGCAATCTTGCACTGTAATTGTAAAGAATTACTAGCACTGCACATGTTACTGGTCATATTGTTAAAATAAATAAAGGCAACAGTAGTATACCGCTGTTCAATAATCATTAAGCGAAAACAAATCCGGGTAACAAACTAAAACTGAGGGAAACACATCAACTATACATTGTAAGAGGGAAACAACGGAAGAACAGAAACACTGAACTGCAACAAAAGCAAACACTAACATACATAGAAGCGGACTGTCTTGATAACGACTGCCATATTCCTGACTTGGTACAGGACATTTTAAGAAAAAATGGTGGGTTGAACCTGGTTTTATGGCTAGCCAAACCTCCTGCTTATATGACAATGTTACAAATACCGCTAAAATGACAACACTACGTGACAGGAATACAGTACAATCAAACGCAAGAACACTCAGCACAGAGAAATACATAAATAAATAATATGATAGTACATTACATCATGTAAACCGCAGAATAACAACGAACACCTCCAATGAGTTTACGACAGCACACCAGGACACCACAAACGAAATATAAACTGCGCGTCACATGAATGGATCAACGCCACAAAAGTAAAATAAAACTTTTCGTTACTTGTAAACCAAGTGAAATCTGCGACTGCTTATTATGTAACGATTGTGAATGAAGTTAAAAGATTTTATTAATCATTGCTCATATTTAAATGTTGGTGAAAAAAAATGTTTAATGAATGGATTGTTGTGCGTTCTTGTAGTTTGTCAATAGAATAAAAAAAATATATTAGAACAAAATTCCAGTATCTTTGATTCGTTAATTCAGTTGCCTCCATACTTTTTTCATTTCTCTAGTGTAAACAAAACCTAGGAGAACACATGTTTATTGTGAACTATTATGCATCTAGTAGTAGTGCTGGTGTATGGGATACAGAAATTTGAAATATAAAACGACGGACATGTTTATACATTTGTGACATTATAAAAAGATTATACTAGTAGTGTTACCACGAATATAATTGCGGATGGCTTCAAAGGTGTTATCATAAAGGAAAGGGAAAGTTGGAAAGGAAAATTTGAGGAAAATTACTTTGTTTGGGAGAAAAGGTCTATTGCAAAATTGGTTTCTACCTTTGACGATATTTAATATGAACTACTGATATTTATAATGTTCCATTTCTATATTGAACAACAACCAAATAATAAAAGATTCTTACTTCATTGACTCAAACAACTTTCGCGGCCAACAGTTGATGGGGACCAGCAGTTGATAAAGATGAAGATTGCCAGGTTGGTGTATGTCAATTTCCTAAACAAGAGCTAGATTTATTAACAATGTCATAAAATACTTCAGATAACATCACTGACTGACAAAAAGCGTTTTAAAAGTGTACGTAGATCTAAATCTAGTTGACAGGCTTGCATTAATTTTGTACATGCCCAGAATATATTTTGTAAAAAGCTTTGAATACCCTTGATATATTCAATTTGTAATTTTTGAACAATTTGATATCAAGCAATACTAATACATAAAGTATCAAATATATGTAGTTTTGGTTCATATATCGCGTGTGTTGGACATTAAACACAAACGTCTATGAATGTTTACACACTTGGAAATAAGGTCGTAGAGTATAGATATACCGGTATCATACATGTAAATAACAAGTAGAAGATGTAAAGAAATGTGTTTTATAGTGGATATATTGGGAAAATACAAAAAAAAAGACAAATCAAAGGCAAAGACAGATGTGCACTGACTAGTAAAGACAAACTTATCGGGCGATGCAAATGCTAAACAAACTGAGAGGGATATTAGATTTTCTTGACGGGAAGGCATATCCGTCTTTGAAGTAAGATACCTAGAGTATTTTTCTGTGGCAAAAGTCGAATAAGACGCAAACATTGAAGTGTAGTTCCTCAAGATGTGATGTATTATAAGCGACAGGGCGAAATTGGTCTTCTGATTAACGATATATGCGTGAATTCTCCGGTCTTTTTACAGAAAAAAACTATAAATGTTCGTAAAAAAGAGGCGGAAGATATATTAAAAGTCTAGACAAGCTGACAACGCCATAGTAAAGAGTTAGCAGATCCTTCTCCACATATGACACTCGTCCTGTTTCTTTAATAAAATACCTTGACAAGTTATATCAAATAATTTGGCAGCACGCAACTGTGGACTGGTAGTTGATTCTATTCTAGCTCATTTAATACTAATAATCACCAAATTCGTAAACCACTGGTCCTGTTACTTGACCAAATGTAAAACTTGTAATTGAAGCACGTTGAAAAGGACACTAGCAAAATTAGTAGGATGTTACTGTCAATTATTCAAAGCCGGCTTAATTTATGTTCTTACTAAAATTTCTCGTTTCTCGATTGTCAGTCCAAATTTATCGCCCTTCATCCCGGTCAAACTGCATAAAAAGAGATATTCAAACTCGTAAGTCGACAAAAAAGCTGACAACGTCATGGCAAAAAAAAGGAAAAAGACCAAAAGACAAACAACAGTATACAAAACACAACATAGACAAATTAAAGACTTAGCAACACGAACCCCATTAATTGATTGTAAATTATTAATATTGTTTCATAAATTATCTTCTTGTATATGCATGACATTTGACACCTGGCGTGAAGCAAACAACAATCAATCAGAAACCTATATTCTGCCAGCTACAATTCACATACATCTCGTGAAGAACGTTAACATGTGTAACGTTGCATAGAGATCAAACAGTCTCTAATAGTTCTAAAAATTGACATTCGTACCATCAGACTAATGTGCCGTCATTTTCTATACGGTTATTATAATGCATGAGTTATTTGCCTAATTCTTTTCTATCAATGTCCACTTAAGATAAATATATGATTGAGTAATTGATTTTTAACAGTAATGTCTTTAAAAACACAATATTAGATGATCTAAAACAGTGCCCCATTATATTTTTTCGTTGTACCAATGATCTATTCCGGGTTTTGTTTATCATTCGACTATTAATTATCTAATTGTGTATACAAATAATAGAAGTCATGAATAATTATAATATCTATAAGTTCAACTGATTTCATTATTTTTGGATTGACTAATGATTTGTTAACTATTTTTACATATGATTATTTGTATCATGTTCCATCTTTTAATCGGATAGGATGGGTATATGGTTAATTTTCCTGTTTTCCAATGAAATGAACCAACTTAAATAAAATCTGAGATTTCATAATGCTTAAAAAGAGTAAACGAGTCAAGATATATCTAAATTTTACTCACAATGATAGAAGAAGTGTGGGTGTAAAATAGTCTTTTTGTTTGGCTTTACTTCAAGCAAATCTACATTTGATGTGGTGGTTATCCAGATTTGACGGTACTGCAAGCTTGAATAGCATTGATCAATTTGATTAAGATTAAGTATTGCATGTTGCTCATTTTTGTTTTTGTCTCACACATTGCTTACACACGCGACAAACAAACATAACGGAGCAATGTGTAAGATCTTATTTTACCTTCCGATATATTGATTATGTCCTGTCACTCTATAACCCATATTTCAACGAGTGCATGAATCTCATTTATCCCAGTGTAGAAGGTAGAAGGTCTGCTTCTTATCTTGATCTTTTCATCGATATTGACACAGATGTACGACTTCAAACTATATTCTATGACATACGTAATGATTTTTACTTTCCAGTTGTCAACTTCCGATTTCTCAGCAGTTACAAATCCTCGTTCCTATCGTATGGCGTTTACATATCGCAATTGATACGTTACGATCTTGCATGTTCACAGTATACAGAATTCATTTGCATGGGCTTTGATCCTAACACAAAAACTGCTCAAAAAGAGTGACAAGGAAGAACGACAAAAATCGACAATACATAAGTTTTATGGCCACCGTCACAAATTGGTTGACCGATACGATATGTCTGTGTCTAAACTCAATAGCGACATGTTTTGCAGTCAGATCTTTTGATACCAAAATAGTCATATCTGGTTTGTAATTTTACCAATTGTGTTCTACTTCCGATTGTGACGTTTT